TCGGCACCCGCCCCTATTCTGGACACGACACATCCTCCAGTATATTTCACCTCCACCGTGCTTGCCTCTACGCCTTGTCTCCCAACCAAGCCATCGACGACATCTTAGCCGCTTTGATTTAAACATTTCCTGGCTATCGAATATCCTGTGTATTTCCGACAGGTGTATTTGTAAGTGCCTCGCCTTCTACAGGTGTATTGGTAAGTGCCTCGCCTCAGTTATCCGATAATGAGTGATACCGTCGGATACCTGGGTCGTCGCGGCTGGTTTGAGTAACACTGATTTGGCGTGTCCAATTGCCACACGGAATGGGTCGACAATTACTGGCCAGAGTGTTTTAAAGAATTGCTTGTTCATTCATGTGTGTGTACTCACCTATTTGTACTCGCCTGTTTGTGCTTGCAGGATTGAGCATTGACTCTTGGATCCCGCCTTTCTAGCCATCGGTTGTTTACAACAACTGACTCCTGTCCCATTTCCCTATCATATCTAGTTTTAAAACTATGAATAAAGTTTGCTTCCACCACTTCTCCTTAAGTGCATTCCATTTTTCCACTACTCTCACGCTAAAAGAATACTTCCTAACATCTCTGTGACTCATCTGAGTTTCCAGCTTCCACCCATGTCCCCTCGTTCTGTTACTATTACGTGTGAACATTTCGTCTATTTCCACTTTGTCAATTCCCCTAAGTATTTTATACGTTCCTATCATATCCCCCCCTCTCCCTTCTTTTTTTCTAGTGTCGTAAGATTCAGTTCCCTGAGGCGCTCTTTATACCCCATCCCTCGTAACTCTGGGACGAGTCTCATTGCAAACTTTTGAACCTTTTCCAGTTTCCTTATATGCTTCTTCAGATGCGTGTGTGTGTGGGGGGGGGGGGGAGAAAAAAAAAAGTAGTTAGTAAACAGTTGATTGACAGTTGAGAGGCGGGACGAAAGAGCAAAGCTCAACCCCCGCAAACACAACTAGGTGAACACACACACACACACACACACACACACACACACACACACACACACACACACACACACACACACACACACACACACACACAATCCCGCCAAGCAGCTTGTAACAGCTGACTAACTCCCAGGTACCCATTTACTGCTAGGTAAAAGGAGCATCAGGGTGAAAGAAACTGATCGTTTTGTTTCTGCCATCACCGGGGATCGAACCCGGACCCTAGGATTACGAGTCCAAAGCGCTGTCCACTCAGCTATCAGGTTATGCGTGTGCATGCGTGCGTGCGTGCGTGCCGTCTCCCACTTGAGACATATTGTGTTTGAAAACTAAACTAGCTTAATTACGTAATATTATGTTGACCCGGGAGCAGGCACGGTGTGTGCCTCTGTACCCAACATGGGGTCACACGGGGTCACTGGGGGGTCACACGGGGTCACAAGGGGTCACTGGGGGGTCATTAAACGTCGCTAGCGGTTAGTGAAGTACTAGCGTCTCCTACTTGTCGCATACTTGCCACAGATTCCCACCACACTGTTCTGCAAGAACCACACCCCAACCACGCCACAACAACGCCACAACCACACCACAACCACGGCACAACCACGCCACAACCACACCACAACCACGCCACAACCACGCCACAACCACGCCACAACCACACCACAACCACGAACTGTAAACATTTTCTTATGGTTACGATGGTAAACATGAAAGAATTGTCAAAACTTTGAAATGCACAAGAGTCGAGATTACTATACCGAAAATAAGTATTTGCTTTAGTTGAAGTTGTACGTGTACAGATACAGACGCTGCAGCAGCAGCAGCAGCAGCAGCAGCAGCAGTAGCAGCAGCAGCAACAGCAGCAGTAGCAGCAGTAGCAGCAGCAGCAGCAGCAGCAGCAGCAGCAGTAGCAGCAGCAGCAACAGCAGCAACAGCAGCAGTAGCAGCAGCAGCAGCAGCAGCAGCAGCAGCAGTAGCAGCAGCAGCAACAGCAGCAGTAGCAGCAGTAGCAGCAGCAGCAGCAGCAGCAGCAGCAGCAGCAGCAGCAACAACAGCAGCAGCAGCAGCAGTAGCAGCAGCAGCAGCAGCAGCAGCAGCAGTAGCAGCAGTAGCAGCAGCAGCAGCAACAGCAGCAGCAGCAGCAGCAACAACAGCAGCAGCAGCAGCAACAACAGCAGCAACAGCAGCAGCAGCAGCAGCAACAACAGCAGCAACAGCAGCAGCAGCAGCAGCAGCAGCAGTAGCAGCAGCAGCAGCAGCAGCAGCAGCAGTAGCAGCAACAACAGCAGCAGCAGCAGCAACAACAGCAGCAACAGCAGCAGCAGCAGCAGCAGCAGCAGTAGCAGCAGCAGCAGCAGCAGCAGCAGCAGACTTGAGCTAGCCAGCAGTTGTTCCCTTCTGTAGGAGCTCTTCACGAGTCATTGTGCTAATTTTAAAGTTTGTGTCACTCTTGTTGCTTTACTCGTATATTGATTTACTGGTTTGTCTTAAAATATTTCTCTCTTTATCTTACAGGTAAGAATCACATGGCGCGGTGTCTTACAGGTAAGACATCTAACATTTCTTACAGGTAAGTTGTTCCTTGATCATTCTTACTGTTAGTACGTATTTCCAGCTGTAGAGGGGGTAAAATCCCCTCCTTTATTTCCCCTATGTCCATCGTTTTTTGAAGGATATCACATCTTCCCGTCTAGTTATCATTTTACACAGTAACCTCTTGTTAAACTGGATGGTGTGGCGCCCTGTTGGTAGTGGCACCTGTGGTTGACCTCGTGTTGTATAATTAACAATGCTAAAATTTTCAGCTGTCTGGCCAGAGTATGAGGGCATGTCAAACTGTACGTAAATAGAAAATGGATGACATTATGTGGCAACTCCAACCCCTCTTAATCCCTTAATTATACCAATAGGATACCCCCTTTATGTAATCTATTGTCCCCCATTCAACCCCCCAAAAAAATTAATATATGCAGAGAGTTGTATTCCGCTACTCATTATAATCCAGTATTCACTCACTCACCATTCAGTACTCAACCGTTTTACCCATTGTCTCCGCTCTTGTGTCCATCAAAGTGCTCACTCCTGAGAGTCCTCCCATTATCATCATTTCTTAGCAAGTTGTGCGTAAGTGTTTTCACTTCATCATCAACACCCAATTATGAAATTATTAAACCTCAACCCACAAATATAAAATCAAAGGAGAGACTACGCGGCAGACCGTCCTGGTCCATCATAAAAGTCCAAGGCGGAGCCAAGTGTGGTCAGATCTGTTATATCAAATTTGAGAGGTTTGGGTTTGTAATTTTCAGTCACTTTATTGTGATATATTGCACGAAAATATAATATTTCTCTGGTTAAGTGACTAACCAAAGTTCATGTTATTTTTACACACAGAAATCACACTAACGTGATGCGTTCAGTAAGTTCAGTAGAACTTCGGTTTCAACTCTTTTTTTTTTTTTTTACCCTGTCGTAGCTCAGGGTAAAAGTGTCTGGGATGCTCCCGGACGCAGGTTCGAATCCTCGTCACGGCCCTTGTGGATTTGTTCATGTTTTTTTTAGCCATCAAACAGTCTGTTACATAAAAGAAAAATTACTGTAAAACAAAAAAAAAGTTTTTGTTCGAGATTTGATTCTGTATAATCGCAACGGGACTTCTTATCCGGCTTATTGTACAGTATTCCGATAACCGAGTCCAGTCCTATTAGGCTACGGATACCACTCAAGAATGTCTGATAAAATTAGTTTTCAAATTCATAAAGAGTAAATATAGTTTAGATCTTACTATGGCAGAGTTAGCGAATTACCAGACAGCTGGGTCTGTTGTGGGGCCTATCAGCCTCTGGAGGGTTATTAATGCCTATCAGCCTCTGGAGGGTTATTAAGGCCTATCAGCGTCTGGAGGGTTATTAAGGCCTATCAGCGTCTGGAGGGTTATTAAGGCCTATCTGCGTCTGGAGGGTTATTAAGGCCTATCTGCGCCTGGAGGGTTATTAAGGCCTATCTGCCTCAGAAGGCTTGTTAAGAACTATCAGCCTCTGGTGATGTAGTTTTTACACCCGAAGGGAAGGGAACTATCAGGGAGAAAGCGCCAAGCCATGACGACTATATAGCACTTGGAAGGAGGTCAAGATAAGGATTTGGGATGGGCCGGACTGGGGGAAGGAATGGTGTTGGAATATGGAGGACTGGAATATGACTTGTGTCAGTAGGGTGAGACCTCTCCCTTCCTCTACCTCCTCGTAAGACTTACTCTACCGGGCCGGCCGGCCGAGTGGACAGCACGCTGGACACGTGATCCTGTGGTCCCGGGTTCGATCCCGGGTGCCGGCGAGAAACGATGGGCAGAGTTTCTTTCACCCTGATGCCCCTGTTACCTAGCAGTAAATAGTTACCTGGGAGTTAGTCAGCCGTCACGGGCTGCTTCCTGGGGGTGTTGGCCTGGTCGAGGACCGGGCCACGGACATTAAAGCCCCGAAATCAACTCAAGATAACCTCAAGATAGCCTCTACTAGTTCTCCCTGGAACACAACCCGCCAGGTGCTTAACAACCAGGTAGCCTTGTACTGCTGTGTGACGCCAACGTAGGTGACTTCGGCCAGGACTCGAACGTGGACACATCGCTGGCGAGACGCAGGGCGAGTGTTAACCACTGCGCCACCAGGGTCAATAATTAAACGTGTATTACTATTAGTGATGGATGTTACTACGTGATGTCCACGTAATTTTCCTGGTCGGGTGTGTGATGTGCTACACACTCGCACACAAGCACACGCACGCGCGCGCACACAAGCACACGCACACACTCAAGCACACGCCCCGTTGAGAGGTGTTGGTCCCCGTTGGTCCCGTTCCGAGGCGGGACCAGAGAGCAGAAGCTCAATCCCCGCAAGCACAACTAGGTGAGTACGCACGCACGCGCGCGCGCACACGCACCCTTAGAGACTGACAAGGTGTCTTATAAAGCGAAGAGTCGTTAAATTTGGTTGATTATATTTCATGTGATTCGATTCGCCTCATATAATGAAAAGGTTCATTATAGGGCAGAATTATGATTAGTGGTGGTGATTGTGTTGTGGAGATGATTAGCACTTAACTCCTCCTCAAGTGTTGCTTGTGCAGTCGAGGCGGTGCTTGAGGTGACGAGGACAGACTTGAGATTGGAGGGCGACTGAGGAGTAGTTTGGAGTGTGACTGGGGAGTAGTTTGGAGGGCGACTGGGGAGTAGTTTGGAGGGCGACTGGGGAGTAGTTTCGAGGGCGACTGGGGAGTAGTTTGGAGTGTGACTGGAGAGTAGTTTGGAGGGCGACTGGGGAGTAGTTTGGAGTGTGACTGGAGAGTAGTTTGGAGGGCGACTGGGGAGTAGTTTGGAGGGCGACTGGGGAGTAGTTTGGAGTGCGACTGAGGAGTAGTTTGGAGGGCGACTGGGGAGTAGTTTGGAGTGTGACTGGAGAGTAGTTTGGAGGGCGACTGGGGAGTAGTTTGGAGGGCGACTGAGGAGTAGTTTGGAGGGCGACTGATGAGTAGTTTGGAGGGCGACTGAGGAGTAGTTTGGAGGGCGACTGAGGAGTAGTTTGGAGGGCGACTGAGGAGTAGTTTGGAGAGCGACTGGGGAGTAGTTTGGAGTGCGACTGAGGAGTAGTTTGGAGAGCGACTGGGGAGTAGTTTGGAGTGCGACTGAGGAGTAGTTTGGAGAGCGACTGGGGAGTAGTTTGGAGTGCGACTGAGGAGTAGTTTGGAGTGCGACTGAGGAGTAGTTTGGAGGGCGACTGAGGAGTAGTTTGGAGTGAACCTCAGGACTACGAATCCGAAACGCTGTCCTCCCAGCTGTCAGGACGACACTGTAAGGTTTACCATGTTGGTTCTGAAGTGTTGTATAATACAATTATTGTTTTGTATTGCAATAGTAGAGACGTTATAACAAAGCCAAAAGGGGGTTATAGCCACCAAACAGTGACTTGTATATATTTATGTACGTTTACGGTGAAAAAAGTTGTGTGGAAGGTGCAGGGAAGAGGTGTGTGTGTGTGTGTGTGTGTGTGTGTGTGTGTGTGTGTACTCACCTATATGTACTCACCTATATGTGCTTGCAGGATCGAGCATTGACTCTTGGATCCCGCCTTTCTAGCTATCGGTTGTTTACAGCAATGACTCCTGTCCCATTTCCCTATCATACCTAGCTTTAAAAGTATGAATAGTATTTGCTTCCACAACCTGTTCCCCAAGTGCATTCCATTTTTCTACTACTCTCACGCTAAAAGAAAACTTCCTAACATCTCTGTGACTCATCTGAGTTTCCAGTTTCCATCCATGTCCTCTCGTTCTGTTATTATTACGTGTGAACATTTCATCTATTTCCACTTTGTCAATTCCCCTGAGTATTTTATATGTCCCTATCATATCTCCTCTCTCCCTTCTTTTCTCTAGTGTCGTAAGGTTCAGTTCCTTCAGCCGCTCTTCATATCCCATCCCTCGTAGCTCTGGGACAAGCCTCGTCGCAAACCTCTGAACCTTCTCCAGTTTCTTTATGTGTTTCTTCAGGTGGGGGCTCCATGATGGCGCGGCATACTCTAAGACGGGTCTCACGTAGGCAGTGTAAAGCGCCCTAAAAGCTTCCTCATTTAGGTTTCTGAATGAAGTTCTAATTTTCGCCAGTGTAGAGTACGCTGCTGTCGTTATCCTATTTATATGTGCCTCAGGAGTTAGATTAGGTGTCACATCCACTCCCAGGTCTCTTTCTCGAATCGTTACAGGTAGGCTGTTCCCCTTCATTGTGTACTGTCCCTTTGGTCTCCTGTCACCTGATCCCATTTCCATAACTTTACATTTACTGGTGTTAAACTCCAGTAGCCATTTCCCTGACCATCTCTGCAGCCTGTTTAAGTCCTCTTGGAGGATCCTACAATCCTCGTCTGTGTGTGTGTGTGTGTGTGTGTGTGTGTGGGTGTGTGTGTGTGTGTGTGTGTGTGTGTGTGTGTGTGTGTGTGTGTGTGTGTGTGTGTGTGTGTGTGTGTGTGTACTCACCTAGTTGTACTCACCTAGTTGTGTTTGCGGGGGTTGAGCTCTGGCTCTTTGGTCCCGCCTCTCAACCGTCAATCAACACCAGGATAGTTAGTGTGTGTGGGTGTGCTCCCAGACGCCCTCTGTGTTTCATTGTAGTGGAAGAGAACTGTGAGGGGAAAGCGCTAAGCCATTACGACTATATATTGCCCTTGAAAGGGATTCCAAGATTCGAACCCAGGACATTTTGAGTTGTGAACCGACTGTGCTGGACCACTGAGCCACAGGATGCTAATATTAACACCGTCGTTAACTCGTTTACCTGAGCGGTAATCAACGGGCGGAGGTTGAAGGTAGTCCCGTGACCAACCCACTCTCACCACACGGAATATTCCATTTAATTACTTATATAACACGAGATCCCTTTAATGTATTCTGGTATTGGACATCCTTCATTATTTGCCTAATCGTTCCAAACATTTGTTAAACAATTGTAGCTTCATTCACATTAGCTTGACACTCGTAATGTTAATTAGGAGGATTAATGATGTATTATCAAGGAGTAATTAATACAAAGGGGGATTACAAGTGTATACAAGCAGGAAGGCATTTGAACAAGCCAGACACTCAAGCCTAAAAGTATATATGATAGAAAGGAAGTCCTTTTAGCTCACTATCTTGAGGTTATCCCGTGACAGCTGACTAACACCCAGGTACCTATTTTACTGCTAGGTAATAGGGACATAGGGTGAAAGAAACTCTGCCCATTGTTTCTCGCCGGCGCCTGGGATCGAACCCAGGACCACAGGATCACAAGTCCAGCATGCTGTCCGCCCGGCCGACCGGCTCACTAAAACTAACATATATCATAGAAGCAAACTCACATGCAATTAGTTTGCATTTGAATATACTTACTCAAACTCAATCAAGAATGGGTTGAATAAGTATATGACTAGGCCACCTGGCTGGTGGTCTGATCGGTCAGATTGTTGGTGCCTGCAGCTTACAGCCGACGTAGGCACTCAACCCGTCCTCTTAAAAATAACGTCACTTTTGGCTCGTATGCGCACTATGGCCAAATTTGGACGTAATTTGAAATGAAATCGACTCACAAAAGTGACGTACTGTTCCGTTTTCTGTTTGAGCCGTCCGGCTTACTCGGTAAGGTTAGAAGAGGCAACTTTCCATTAACGTTTTTCATAATGTTTTGAAACTTTATGAGAATTTCCTGTCCACCTAACCTACCAGAGGACCCTTTACTTACTGTTGGTGAAAAAAAAAATTCCCAAATTTATTTTCATTTTTTTTTTTTCATTTTCAAATTACGTCCACTTTCGGCCATACGGGCAAACGGCCAAAAGCGACGTTCTTTTTAAGAGGACAGGTTGAGGCACTACTACTACTCGGTTGATCAGGTACGCCTTTGTACCTGTTTATTGAAATTCTTTTGGAACATACTGAAGCATCTTCTGTAGATTCCTTGATTACGTCATCACATTAGTCTCTTTCTTAGTGTCATTTGATATGACTTTAAACAGCGGAGGTGTAGGAAGAAAGATGTGAGCCTGCCTCGTCTAGTGATCAGCTTGACTGTTGCTAACAGCAACCCCACTGCACAAGGACATCACATTAACGTGGTGTACCAATGACAAGATCAGTAGATCATGGTTTCATGATTTCCAGAAAATAAGAAATTTAGAAAATTGGAGCATTACCGATTTTCTCATTGATACATCACGTTAATGGGATTTCAATTTGAAGAGAATCGTTGGAGGTTGAATTCCCAGACTAAGTCAGAGTGCACTGAGGGCAAGGTGTAACACCCTGATTTCCGGCTTCAGTGGAAGCCTTGGAAACCCTATGGGATTCAGTTGAATTCCAGGTGGCAATGCTTTTGACCATGTCTTGGTGAAGTGTTCTGAGGCGTTTGCTTGGGTGCACCCAGAGCATAGGTTCGAATCCTCCTTACTGCTCCTACAGATGTTGTCAATATCCCCAAGACCTGCTCCCGGAACACATCCACATCCTCCTCTTCCTATCCTTGACACAGATCCTGTTGTCCATATACTCTCCAGATGCTGTTACCCGCCTCATCACTGAACACATCCAGAAGCACAGCAGAAAATCTTCCCATCTTAACCCCGCCATCAGTAGGTTTCTTCCCTGAGGTTCAGCATCTGTCAGGTGTCGAACCGTGGCTCCCTGTTCCTCTCCTCTATCCTTGGTACACATCAGCTATCCATCACCTGCACTTTCTCAAGCACGTTATTTCCAAAGATTTCCCACCTCTCCCCTTGCCAGTACATTAAAAAAATTAAGACAAAGTCATCTGTGTAAATCTGTAAAACAATTGAAAAGTTCACGATTGAAGGTTATGTAAATGTACAGAGTATACAAAACCTTGAGTCCCTCATTATGTGGGTAGGGCATAATAAAGCCTGGGGGGGGGGGGAGTTATGCTGTTGGTCATATCACGCATAAGACATGTGCCTAGAGTTACATGCTGGACGTGTCGACTCCATATTCATGTCAATCAAAGATAGTTGAAAAATACCAGTAATCACGACCAGAAGTTACCAGTCTTCTCTTAGTTAAAGATAAAATACAGCAAAATACAGTAAATACAAAGACATTACAGACCGTGTCTTTAACTTGCTGACGTCTGAGCAAGCGGCATCACTATGAACTATATATATATATAAGGTTTATACAAAAGCTTTTTGAAAAATGCTATTTTTTGTTTCAATTTGTGGACAAGCCCGCTTAGGGTATAAATATTTTATATTTAATTTTAACTACATATGATGATTTAGTAAAGAATCAACTGTTTGGTTCGGCTCAAGCGATCGAATCTCATTGAATATAAATAATAAAACAAACGCTAATTTTAGCATTTACGTTTGAACGCTCTCGTTTTGTTTAAGTTAAATGATATAAGTCAAGACGGCAGGCGATGTGTGATGTTTGTGTGGGCGTAAAGGTGCTGAGACGTGGTCATGGACCAGTGTGAAGTAGTCATCACAAGATGCAGATAAAAGGGAGCCGGTCGGCCGAGCGGACAGCACGCTGGGCTTGTGATCCTGTGGTCCCGGGTTCGATCCCGGGCGCCGGCGAGAAACAATGGGCAGAGTTTCTTTCACCCTATGCCCCTGTTACCTAGCAGTAAAATAGGTACCTGGGTGTTAGTCAGCTGTCACGGGATGCTTCCTGGGGGTGGAGGCCTGGTCGAGGACCGGGCCGCGGGGACACTAAAGCCCCGAAATCATCTCAAGATAACCTCAAGATACTGACCCAACACTGGCAGCATGTCTGTGGTGACCCCCCAACACTGGCAGCATGTCTGTGCTGACCCCCCAACACTGGCAGCATGTCTCTGCTGACCCCCCAACACTGGCAGCATGTCTATGGTGACCCCCCAACACTGGTAGCATGTCTATGGTGACCCCCCCCCCAACACTGGCAGCATGTCTATGGTGACCCCCCAACACTGGCAGCATGTCTCTGCTGACCCCCCAACACTGGCAGCATGTCTGTGGTGACCCCCCAACACTGGCAGCATGTCTGTGCTGACCCCCAACACTGGCAGCATGTCTCTGCTGACCCCCAACACTGGCAGCATGTCTGTGCTGACTCCCAACACTGGCAGCATGTCTGTGCTGACCCCCAACACTGGCAGCATGTCTGTGGTGACCCCCAACACTGGCAGCATGTCTGTGCTGACCCCCCAACACTGGCAGCATGTCTCTGCTGACCCCCCAACACTGGCAGCATGTCTGTGCTGACTCCCAACACTGGCAGCATGTCTGTGGTGACCCCCAACACTGGCAGCATGTCTGTGGTGACCCCCAACACTGGCAGCATGTC